CACTCACTCCACTCGAAATCTTTGGGCCTACGTGTTGGGCTTGAAGGTTGAAGGAATAAACCTCAACAGAGTGAAAGTTCAAATGACCAGAGAATAGGGCTATATATAGCGGGCATAATGATTACCTTCTAATGGTCGGGACACACATCACTCAAGTGCAGTGCCTCCCTCGGTCAAATTGAGGCATCTGCTCCTATTACAACCATTAAGGACATGAAACGTATCACTCCCATTAACAAACCTCAGGACACGACATACTCTTTTGCCACACCCTAACACATGTAACAAAGAAAACATTAGGCCCCTTGTCCATATTTCCCAACATCTCAGCACAGACAAGTCAAGCTTGGTTCCTCGACCTCGCATCTCGCTACAACTACCAAAACTCAAAACCTAGATCTCAGCACAAACGAGTCATATGTCCTTTGGCTACATTAGCACTAACCCCACAAGAATAATCTAACTAGCCCTTTGCTTAGGCCAAGGCTCACCAATGAGAGCAAATCATCAATAAAAAAAATTGGTAGGATGCCTCGGCCCAATAATAGAGTCTACTCCTTCAGACGAAAACAAGCTCGTCTTGTAGGAGTGGGGGACTGGTGGAATACATCACGCCCTCAACCATACGATAAGAACACCACATTGCAGTTTAAGGCTATATTCCCTTTCGTCTGAACCGCCTCCCGAAGAAGGGACTGGGGAACTCCTGATGGAGTATATGGTCCTGGACTGAGAACCCACAAACTCACAAGACATTATGGACTGGAGCAACAAACAACATCCAATGTCCTCATCTAGGCCCTCTGAAAAGACGAAGGGTACTATCGCTCAAAACAACCTAGAACGTCCACACGAGGATCGACCATGGCTCGAATGATCACCCTCATCCACCATTTTCTATATCGTGAGCCCCCAGCCAATGAAGATATGCCTCCATTAGCAAGACTAAGTTATATGTGCACTCCTTCATCTACTTACGGATGAGGATAACAAGCCCCTCGTTCACCACAAAGGAGACATCAACGACATTACATGGCCTCTTTTCATATGCTAAAAGGTTTCATCCATAGACTAGCCAAAGCATGTACTAACATTTAATGTGCTTGACATTTATTACCACTATAAATAGCCCTATATTTGACAGTTCTAAGGGTTCAACAATCATTTGTTACAAAATATATTTCTCCCTATAATACTAAATCAGTTTTCTCTCTCGAATACCACTAGCAAATTACCAATATAACTATACTAACGGATTACTTGTATAATTGTAAGTAAAACTATTATTTTCAGTTGCGTGCGCCACACAACCACCATCAACATACCGGTTGTGAACATGATGTCAATTACTTCTACCCACCATCACTATTGAGAACCAAAACAAAACATTCATTGTCTATTACCTCATCCCTCATATATTAGTAATCTCAACTCACAATTGTTAGGGACCACCAAATTTCAAAACCTCTTAGTAATCCCTAGGCACCCCAACCCATCTTTCGCCACTCACCACCCACTCAATCCCAAAGTTCATCACTCACACTGTCAACACCATCCAACTGCTCCTCAGTGAAGGACCACTGCCTCCATCCCTATAACGTCAATGAGACACGGCCAACGTTGTCACTAACCCGCATAACCTTAATGTATGATACTGATAATTATGCACACAACCCTAGTTACTCGTGATAGGCACCTCACGACCCTAGTTACTAGTGGAAAGGGTGATGCCAACATTGCCATATGTGTAACACCCCGACCTCACAAGATCCGTGATCGTTACTCTTGTATGCGTTCCGGACCTAATATTGTTCTCACAAACTAGCACAAGCCTTTACTACATACTTTGTCCTCATGTACTCATGCGCGCCTTAAGAAGTTTCTCAAGGGCTCACCCATCCTAAGGCTACTCTCGTTCCAGCACATTTACTTTCAGATTTCTTAATAGATGTATCCATCAAAGAAAGTGTACCTTATTGATATGAATAATACTTTTAAGGGAAAACTATCAAATAGGTCCTCGAACTTTCATAAAAAAAGTCAATTAAGTCCTTCTATTGGAAGTTCTGTCCGGCCGTCGCGATTTGGGGCAGTTCCCGGTGGAATTTTTTGATGAATTTTTTTGAGCATCTTATTCACCAAGTCTAGTTTACTCATACCAAATTTCAGCTAAATATTTAATCGGGAGCGCATTCAAATTAATTCGAGAACGCAAAAATGCACAGTTATCTTCAAGAATTAATTTGAATGTGTTCCCAATTGAATTTTTAGCTGAAATTTGGTATGAGTAAACTAGACTTGGTGAATAAGATGCTAAAAAAATTTCATCAAAAAATTCCACCGGGAACTGCCCCAAATCGCGACGGCCGGACAGAACTTTCAATAGAAGGACTTAATTGACTTTTTTATGAAAGTTTGAGGACCTATTTGACAGTTTTCCCTACTTTTAATCCCTTTGAAATTTTCCGGATGGTACAATATGACTCGATAAAGAAGACATATATGCCACTTTAAATCTATTCGTAATTTATATCAACCCCATTTCTATCCAAAACCACAATTTGTTACTCCATATTTGTTTATCTCGAGGAGCTCCGCTAGTAATATTGTCATATTGATATTGATACTACTAGTAATATTCTCGACCACTATTTTTATTTTGGAAAAATTGATAGTAATAATCTCAACTATTGGCAGTCCACTCATAATAATCCCAACTATTGATTATTACAGAATAATCCCAACTTTAGGGACCTTCCGCCAATAATGGTCCCTATGAATAAATTCTTGTAGTTTCTAAAGTGGATGAGATGAGATATAACAAGTAATCTCTATAAATAATCTCAACTTTCAATTTTTACGCTTAATTTCTATTTAAAATTCACTTTTTATAGAGGTAATATATGGTCATGGACCATTATTGGCGGATAGTCTATATAGTTCGGATTATACAAAAATAATCAATAGTTGGGATTATTTTCAGCGGACCGGCAATAGTTGGGATTATTATTTTCAATTTTTCCTTTTATTTTTTAGCTGATATTGATATAGACATTCTCTGTAAAATTATATTATAAAGATATGTTTGGTAGCTTTTCATATGTTAAATAAATACATAACCTATATAAAGTGGAGAGAATTGAGAATAAATTAATAACTTCTATTTTACTTCTTAGAGCGTCTCCATTCATGATCTCTAATAATCAATTTTTTCTATGATTCTTACCTTTTAAATATTGTTATATAATTAATGTTTAAATAATCTCAATATTCGTTTATGTCTCTCAACCATCATCTTCAAATAATCCGATTTTTTCGTTCCTGTATTAACTTCTATTACATATACTTTTTAAATAATCTTAAAATAATCTGGATTCATATTTTGATTCCGGATTATTGTAGCAAATAATCTCACTAAATAATTTATGTCACTCAATGATGCTCTTTTAAAAAATCTGCTATGTCACTTACTTAATCTCTTAATAATCCTACCAATGGGGATGCCCTTAGGTATAGAGCATTTATGTAGTCAACATCATGGACTGTATCATGTCTATATCATCTAATTAAATTATATCTAAGAGCATCTCCATTCATCATCTCCCAATTTATGGTTTTTCATGATTTATTATGGCCACGTCACTGCCCCATAAATAATCTCAAAACTTATTGATTTCTTCTCAACCATGATCTCTATTTATTTGAATTTTTATATGACATACACTAAAATTCAAAATCTCTCACTTAAATTCACTCACACAAACACACTCAGAAGCCACTCACTCACGTACTGGCCATGGCAGCAATAGGATACATTTAAAGAATGTGAAGAGTCAGGCACATTATTAGCTAACGTATGTAACTTTGTTTTTGATTAAATTTGGGAGGAAGAATCTTGAATAGTCCTGGTTTTAATATATGATACCAGTTTTTTCTTTCAAAATAATCTCTTCAAATAATCTCAACATCTCAATCATGATCTCAAAAAATATCATCCACATCATCAAAATGATCCCCAAATAAACCTATGAATGGGGATGCTCTAATGTAGGTAAAAGTATGATACGAAGTATAAAATTAACCATGCCTATATATTTCCTCCATTGTTTAATAATAGCAACACTTTGACTTTTGTACAATGCACATGCACACTTTACTTTGATCAATATTTTTTTACTAATATATTTAATCAAGTTATTATGTACGTAGTATAAAATATTATTATGCACGAAGTATTAGATTCCTATTGATGTGAACTTCTAAAATACGAAATTTTATAAAGTTTATTAATATCTAATTAAATAGAGAGATTGTGACACCGCACCCGAATGTCCTTGGAAATTTGATTGGAATATTCATAGCTTATGTATTGGATTTCCGATTTCCAAACATTTTGTAAAACGATCAATGTTCTACGTAGTGCATGGTTGAATATCGTATTGTTCAAACTCGTACATTAGTGTCGGGTTTCGCAAATACTTACTCGGGACTTATTAATAAATAAGAAAGCCCAACATTACCTAAATAGTGAAAGAATGATTAAAGGAGAATACAAATGTCTATAACCCCATCTTTGGCATTATTGAGCTAAATAATGGGAGTAGGATTTTCCTTCTAAAATATCCATCAAGTAAATTATTGGGATGAGCCTACACATATTGGAGATCAATAATGTGATTTAGGAAGTTGACTTGTTCTAAATAAATTAGGATGAGTACAAAAAGACATCTTTGACAAAGATAAAACAATAGGACCCATCTTCCCATTTTTGGAAGTATTGGTAGATATTTTGGACCCCAAATTCAATGGGATCAATTGGGAACCACTCCACATGATATTAGTACCTGCAAAACAAATAAAAATGGGTTAGAAGACCTACCTTGGCCGGCCATAATGGAGGGGAGCTGCACATGACTTGATAGGAATCAAAGCTTGGGCCACCATCCTTATTTTCGCACAAATTGGTGTGCTGTTTGTCTCCTCTCATTATAGAAGCTATACTCGACCAAACAACGTGAATAATATGTCCTTGGATAGCCTTTGAAGTCTATTATCTCAATTGAGTGGTCTTTGTTCGAGGAGAGAAGGCTTATCTTACAAAAATCGAGCTGGAACGAGCAGAGGTCTGTGAACTCGAGCTGTGAGAGTGCTGAGACTGTTTGGTCGATATCTCGAGTTTTACAAATCCAATTAAGGCGTGTGAGATACCCACAGAAAGCTCTCAAGACGAGGAATCCGTGAAGGTCTGGTTTGCAGGAATCGGAGTTGTTGAAGGCTTCCAAATCGTCCGAGCAAAACACAACCTCGCAGGAGAGGATTTAATCTTCTAAAAGTGAGTTTTAACCCCAAAACTTTACTTTTCATTTTCCAAATGATATGAACGATTGGTGGGACTATCATACACTAATCCAAGTGAATAATATGTCCTTATAAAGTTATTTTATTGATGTAAAGGTTAGATACTAACCTAGATGCAAATATTGGAAAACTAGGAATCGAGTTAGCCGGAAAACACCCGTTCTAGGGGCTGTTTTCGTATCAACGATTAAGGGTTGAACTAGCACTTTGAGGAGGCTGTTTAACACTCATATTTGAGCAAGGAGTCAGTCCCAAATCCACCTTGACCAAAGATTTGACCATTGGACCAAGAAGGGAAAGTTTAAAGCTCAATTGAGGTGAGGATTGACATCTAATTGCTTACAACTTGTAGGTTAAGCATGAGATTACCTAAATGCTTAAATCATGATTTTTCATGGATTATGATGACTATATATTGATGAAATATTGATATAGTTGCCAAAGAATGAATTTGGAATGATTTGAGAAAGTATGAATAATATGAGATTAAATGAGTATAAATGAACTATTTTGTGAAAATGGGCATTTTGCTCATGTATGAATCATGTGGATACATAAATGAATATTTGTGTATTGAGATTTAATACTTAAGTTGCTGCTACATAATTATAAATATGTAGAGAATTACAAACAATGGGGATAATGGTACGATAACAATAATCTTAATAGTATTGGAATACTAGTTAGTGATTATTGGAACTTGTTGATTAAATTGATCCTAGGGATTGGATTGTATGAAAGGTACTTGAATGTAGTTCAAGTGTATATGATAACTTAGTATGGAACTAAGGTTAAGTTATGGGGAGTCTTTAAGGATGACCCATGGTAGTTTAATGATATGTCAATTCTAGGCATAGGGTTGCTTGAGAATTGGACCTTAATGCATGGTGATGTGATAGAGCCGAGCTCTAGAATGCATGTAAGGTGTAGACTTGGAGTCTATGTATTGTATAGCTAGAGCCGAGCTCTAGGACTTGCGTGGTGATGTGATAGAGCCGAGCTCTAGAACGCAAGGTAGGGAGATTGACCCGAGGTATATGAATTGTATGGTGATGTGGTAGAGCCGAGCTCTAGAATACAATGTCATGTACTAGGGTTGGACTCTAGGAGTTGTCGTGGCTTATAGTCACGGGGTTGGGAATGGTGATTTCCAAATAAACATGGGCCCACGGGCCGACTACTTGACTTTTATATTAAGTAAGTATATTTTTAAACGGGGTAACTAGGGTTACAAATCATAATGTACTATCACCCTATTTGAGGGTCTTGTGTTTGAAATACTTGTTGTATATCTATTAGATGCCTGCCACACCAGTACTTTATAGCCGTATAGAGTACTGACCCCTTCGGGGGCGTCCCACCACCATTTTTCAGGTTGAGGCTAGAGCTTGCTTCCTGTGCTCGTTGCTCGAGAGATCATATAGGAGGGAAGACTTGGTTCGTGCTTCCTCCATTCTGTTTTTAAACCTTCCTAAACGTGCTCATGGATATTTTACTATGGAGCCTGCGTGCTCATGAAATGCCTTGTGTGGCCTTTTGTTTTAAACAATGTTTCCGCTGCGTTATGAATTACTTATTATGTTTGTTTATGGATGTATATGTGTGAATGATATTCAAGACGCCTTGTATAATATGAATGTGTTGGACTGCGGTTGACTATTCGTATTGTACGGCGGGTTGTTGACGTGTCCGGATAGGTCCGGGGCGTGACAATTAAGTTGGTATCAGAGCCTTAGTCCATAAACTTCATAATGAAGTCTCAAAATTCTCTTTTGAAAAGATTTTGAAAACCATGAGCATAGAAGTTTTGTACTTGGAGAGCTTTTGGTACTTGGGTTGCAAGGTCTCTAATTGTTAAGATGGTACCCTTAGCAATTGGTATGGCGGTGACTCGAGCCAAAATGTGTCTTAAGTACCTATCCGTCAATTGACATTTGATACGAGTCTAACGACTCTTTCCAAATTTCTTTCAGAATGGACCGTGGTGGCAGGATTACTAGGAGAAACCCGACGGGCCGTGTACCAGTGGAGACTGGACAGGGCAGTCGAAGGACCTCTAGGGCATCTAGAGGAGCTGGCCGTGGAGGCCGATCACAGACCGTGAGTGACGGTCATGTCGACACGGAAAGTGAGACCTACTGGTCCTATGAGGACTCGACCTATCGACCGGAAACTGAACCGGTTGAGACCCCTTATGAAGGGGATGATGATGATGTAAGTGATGAGGAGGAAAATGGCTCCTTAGCACGGATTGAAGCACTACTTCAACAGTACCACCGTGAGCGTGAGGAGAGGAGGGAACGCCGAAGGCGTCGGGCTGGGCAACCTTCGGGCGGGGCTTCAAGAGGGAGAAGCCATGGCGACTCTAGGGCCCACATTGAACCACATGGGGGTCGGGGTGATGGAGGTCCAATCATAAGGATCTCCAAATACATCAAAGAGGCACGAGACTTGGGGTGCAAACCGTTCGATGGGACGGGTGACATCTCCGTTTCGGCACAATGGATTAAGCGGCTGAATGAGGCAGCCCTGGACATGCAACTCACCCCCGAATATAAACTAAGGGTTGCGGTGAGATTGCTTGAAGGTATGGCATCCAAGTGGTGGGATGGGACCAAAGGCAAATATGGCGAGACCATCACTTGGGAGAATTTCCGACAGGAATTCTTTGCCCAATATTACTCGGATTTTGAGGTGAACAAGAAAGTGAGGGAATACACCCTTCTAACCCAAGGGGGTAACATGACGGTGAGGGAACTTGAGTACAAGTTCAGGGATCTTGCCGATTACATACCTGAGTATGCTTGTGACGAGAACCGGATGGTGAACCACTTCTGGGATGCTCTAGACTTGGAGATACGTGACAGGGCAACACAATTGCCTAACATGACGTTTGCCCAAGTGGTTGACCAAGGGTTGAAAGGAGAGAAGCAATGGGAAGAAAGGAAGAAGAGAGACGCCGAGGAGGCGAAAAAGAGAAAGTGGGAGAGTCATGGCTCCCAAGGTTCCAACAAAAAGGGGAACCACGGAGGAGGATCTTTCCGGGCACCACCGCCACCATATAGGGGGAACCAAGGCCCGAGGGGGCAAGGCGCGAGGTCACAAACCTCAGTGGTAGCTCGTTGCAACAATTGCAAGAAGAACCACTCCGGTAAATGTCGCGACCCCCCTAGATGTTTTCAATGCGGGGATGCCGGGCATTTGAAGGCACATTGCCCACAATTGAGTGGGGCAAGGACATCGGGACCGAGTAGCGGTCCGACGGGTACACGGAATCAAACCGGAGCTTCTCAAGCGAGCCGGGGACATGGGGGAGCGAGTACGAGCAACGCGCCATCCGTGAATCAAGGAAGAACTCAAGCTAGAGTTTATGCGATGACGGAGGCGGATGCTCGAGCTAACCCGGACTCGGTTGCAGGTATTGCCTCTTGCACAATTGTATTTTGTCCATATTTAATCCATAAATTGATGACATAAGTCATAGGGATTGAGTGCGAGCCATTTCGGGGTCAAACGGCGAAATTCGGGCCAAAACTGACCAAAAACAGGGACGCACGATCGTGCGTCCAACCCCACGCACGATCGTGCGTAGGGGACAGTGGTTCCAGGTGAATTTCGCGCAGGACGCACGACCGTGCGTGCCGGTACGCACGCCGTGCGTGGACGCACGATCGTGCGTGGCCGGGTACGCACGATCGTGCGTAACCGGCAGTGGTCGGATTCGACGTTTCTTCACGCACGCACGACCGTGCGTGTCCCACGCACGACCGTGCGTGGACCCCAGCCGCCCGAAACACGAGTTTTTCATCCCGTTCTACTATGATTGGACCCCCGTTTGATTCCGAACATTTATATGAACCTATTAACCTCCTAAAAAGTGTCCTAAACCATTAGAAAAGGTATCTTACATGGTGTATAAATGTAGGAACATTAAAGATTAATGGGAAGGATGCACGAATCCTTATCGATACCGGGGCGCAACGTTCGTTCGTGAGGGAGGCGTTCGCCGAGGACTTAGGGGTACAATCGACACCAATGACGCACACATTAGTGGTATCAACACCACTAGGAGATGATGTCGAAAGAACTAGTTATTATCCATCTTGTGAGGTGGAAATTGATGGCCAAACCTTGACGTGTGATTTCGTACCGCTGAGTATGATGGAGTTCGATGCAATCCTAGGGATGGATTGGCTAGAAAAGCATCATGCTAGGGTAGATTGCTACACAAAGGTTTTGGAACTCGAAGGCAATAATGGGGACACCCTACGCTTCGAGGGGGATCGAGGCAAATCAAACAGTTGTATTATTTCCGCCGTGAGAGCGAGAAGTATGATGAGAAAGGGATGTCACGCATATCTAGCATACGTGGTTGACAAAACCAAGGAGGAAACGAACATTGACGACGTGAGGGTGGTTTGTAAGTACCCGGATGTCTTCCCTAAAGACCTACCGGGGCTTCCACCTGATAGGGAGATTGAATTTGTGATCGAGGTCGAGCCTGGTACCAAACCAATCTCCATACCGCCATACCGTATGGCACCCGCTGAACTTAACGAGTTGAAAACCCAATTGCAGGAGCTTTTGGATAATGGTTTCATTAGACCCAGCCACTCCCCGTGGGGAGCACCAGTCCTTTTTGTGAAAAAGAAAGATGGGACACTCCGAATGTGCATTGACTATCGTCAACTGAACAAGGTCACAATCAAGAATAGGTATCCTTTGCCTAGGATTGATGACTTATTTGACCAACTACGAGGAGCAACCGTGTTTTCAAAGATTGACTTGAGGTCGGGGTACCACCAACTGAAGATTAAGGAAGATGACATACCAAAGAGTGCTTTCCGCACAAGGTATGGGCATTTTGAGTTCCTTGTTATGTCGTTTGGGTTAACAAACGCCCCGGCGGCATTCATGGACTTGATGAACCGAGTATTTCATAAATACTTGGATCGATTCGTGATTGTGTTCATAGATGACATCTTGATTTACTCAAAGAGTGAAGAAGAGCATGAGGAGCACTTGATACTTGTTCTTGAAACACTACAGGAGAAGCAACTCTATGCCAAATTTTCTAAATGTGAATTTTGGCTAAAGGAGATTGGCTTCCTCGGGCACGTGGTTTCGGGATCGGGGATTGCTGTTGATAACAAGAAGATAGAAGCCATTACTGAATGGGAGAGGCCAAAGAACGTCAAGGAAATTCGTAGCTTCCTTGGATTGGCAGGCTACTATAGAAAGTTCGTGGAAAAGTTCTCTGTTTTGGCATCGCCATTGACGAAGCTCACTCGTAAAGGAGCTAAGTTTGTATGGGATGACAAATGTGAGAAAGGGTTCATGGAACTAAAGAAGAGATTGACTGAGGCACCGGTACTTGCATTACCCAAACAAGGTGTGGGGTACGATGTCTATAGCGATGCGAGCATCCAAGGGCTCGGATGTGTACTGATGCAGAATGGGAGGGTAATCGCCTATGCTTCACGACAATTGAAGAAGCATGAGGTGAATTATCCTACTCATGATTTGGAGCTCGGGGCAGTGGTATTTGCACTGAAGATATGGAGACATTATCTCTACGGGGAGACATGTCACATATACACTGATCACAAGAGCTTGAAGTACGTGTTTACTCAGAAAGAGCTAAACATGAGACAGAGACGGTGGATGGAGCTGATAAAAGACTACCATCTAGTGATAGAGTATCACCCAGGCAAGGCAAACGTGGTGGCAGATGCTTTGAGCCGGAAGAGCTCGTCTGGGGCATTGATAACTAATTTGAGGGCATTAAGAGCCCAACTGGAGGTAACCAGCGATGGTGCCTTATTGGCACGATTTGAGGTGAGACCCACTTTACTTGATGAGATCAAGAAGGGTCAGGAAGCCGACGAAGAACTTATGAAGGTCCGGGAACGCATGCAAGCGGGGCCGGTGGAGGATTTCAGGGAAAGAGATGATGGTCTCTTGTTATTTCGTGACCGAGTGTGTGTACCGTCAGATGATGAGCTCCGAAAGTCCATCTTAGAGGAGGCTCATTCATCGGCTTATGCCATGCACCCGGGGGGCACGAAAATGTACCGTGATTTGAAGGAAAGTTACTGGTGGTCTGGAATGAAGAGGGAAATAGCCGAGTACATCAGTCGGTGCCTTACTTGTCAACAAGTTAAGGCAGAACATCAGCACCCAGCAGGCTTATTGCAACCACTCTCCATCCCTGAATGGAAGTGGGAGCACGTGACTATGGATTTCGTGGTAGGCTTACCACGGACTATCAGGAACTATGACGCGGTTTGGGTCGTTGTGGATAGGCTCACAAAGAGTGCACACTTCTTGCCTATCAACACTACCTACCCACTTGAGAGGTTAGCCAAATTGTATACGGATGAGATCGTGAGGCTGCATGGGGTCCCGGTGACCATTGTATCTGATAGAGACCCACGATTCACATCACGTTTTTGGCCGAAATTCCAGGAGTCTATGGGAACGAAGTTGAAGTTCAGCACTGCTTTCCATCCACAGACGGATGGGCAGTCTGAAAGGGTTATACAGATCCTAGAAGACATGCTGAGGGCTTGTGCATTGGAGTTCCAGGGGAGTTGGGACAACTACTTAGCACTTGTGGAGTTTGCCTATAACAACAGTTATCAGGCAAGCATCGGCATGCCTCCATACGAGGCATTGTATGGGAGGAGGTGCCGTACACCGTTATGCTGGGATGAGGTTGGCATGGCCAAACTCGAGGGTACTGAGTTGGTTGAGGTCACCAAGTCAAAGGTGAAGTTGATTCGAGAGAGACTCAAGGCGGCTCAGGACAGGCAAAAGAGTTATGCGGATAAGCGTCGAAGGACCTTAGAGTTTAAGGTTGACGACGAGGTATTCTTGAAAGTTTCTCCTTGGAAAGGAATCATTCGATTTCAAACCCGAGGGAAGCTTAACCCACGGTACATAGGTCCATTCAGAATTATAGAGAGGATTGGGGCCGTTGCATATCGTCTACAGTTGACTCCTGAGTTAGAGAAGATACATAATGTGTTTCACGTATCCATGCTTAAGAAGTATGTGCATGATCCCTCTCACGTATTGGAGAAGCCACCTGTAGAGGTACGTGAGGATTTGAACTACTCTGTTCAACCTATCAAGGTCACCGATAGAAAGGTGAAGAAACTGAGGAGCAAGGAAGTCCCAATGGTTAAAGTCCTGTGGAAGAGCGATCGGGTCGAAGAAGAGACATGGGAAACAGAGGCTTTGATGAGGAAGCAGTATGCTTTCCTATTCGAGTAGAGCTGTGAATTTCGGGGACGAAATTCCTGTTAAGGGGGGGTGAACTTGTGACACCGCACCCGAATGTCCTTGGAAATTTGATTGGAATATTCATAGCTTATGTATTGGATTTCCGATTTCCAAACATTTTGTAAAACGATCAATGTTCTACGTAGTGCATGGTTGAATATCGTATTGTTCAAACTCGTACATTAGTGTCGGGTTTCGCAAATACTTACTCGGGACTTATTAATAAATAAGAAAGCCCAACATTACCTAAATAGTGAAAGAATGATTAAAGGAGAATACAAATGTCTATAACCCCATCTTTGGCATTATTGAGCTAAATAATGGGAGTAGGATTTTCCTTCTAAAATATCCATCAAGTAAATTATTGGGATGAGCCTACACATATTGGAGATCAATAATGTGATTTAGGAAGTTGACTTGTTCTAAATAAATTAGGATGAGTACAAAAAGACATCTTTGACAAAGATAAAACAATAGGACCCATCTTCCCATTTTTGGAAGTATTGGTAGATATTTTGGACCCCAAATTCAATGGGATCAATTGGGAACCACTCCACATGATATTAGTACCTGCAAAACAAATAAAAATGGGTTAGAAGACCTACCTTGGCCGGCCATAATGGAGGGGAGCTGCACATGACTTGATAGGAATCAAAGCTTGGGCCACCATCCTTATTTTCGCACAAATTGGTGTGCTGTTTGTCTCCTCTCATTATAGAAGCTATACTCGACCAAACAACGTGAATAATATGTCCTTGGATAGCCTTTGAAGTCTATTATCTCAATTGAGTGGTCTTTGTTCGAGGAGAGAAGGCTTATCTTACAAAAATCGAGCTGGAACGAGCAGAGGTCTGTGAACTCGAGCTGTGAGAGTGCTGAGACTGTTTGGTCGATATCTCGAGTTTTACAAATCCAATTAAGGTGTGTGAGATACCCACAGAAAGCTCTCAAGACGAGGAATCCTTGAAGGTCTGGTTTGCAGGAATCGGAGTTGTGGAAGGCTTCCAAATCGTCCGAGCAAAACACAACCTTGCAGGAGAGGATTTAATCTTCTAAAAGTGAGTTTTAACCCCAAAACTTTACTTTTCATTTTCCAAATGATATGAACGATTGGTGGGACTATCATACACTAATCCAAGTGTATAATATGTCCTTATAAAGTTATTTTATTGATGTAAAGGTTAGATACTAACCTAGATGCAAATATTGGAAAACTAGGAATCGAGTTAGCCGGAAAACACCCGTTCTAGGGGCTGTTTTCGTATCAACGATTAAGGGTTGAACTAGCACTTTGAGGAGGCTGTTTAACACTCATATTTGAGCAAGGAATCAGTCCCAAATCCACCTTGACCAAAGATTTGACCATTGGACCAAGAAGGGAAAGTTTAAAGCTCAATTGAGGTGAGGATTGACATCTAATTGCTTACAACTTGTAGGTTAAGCATGAGATTACCTAAATGCTTAAATCATGATTTTTCATGGATTATGATGACTATATATTGATGAAATATTGATATAGTTGCCAAAGAATGAATTTGGAATGATTTGAGAAAGTATGAATAATATGAGATTAAATGAGTATAAATGAACTATTTTGTGAAAATGGGCATTTTGCTCATGTATGAATCATGTGGATACATAAATGAATATTTGTGTATTGAGATTGAATACTTAAGTTGCTGCTACATAATTATAAATATGTAGAGAATTACAAACAATGGGGATAATGGTACGATAACAATAATCTTAATAGTATTGGAATACTAGTTAGTGATTATTGGAACTTGTTGATTAAATTGATCCTAGGGATTGGATTGTATGAAAGGTACTTGAATGTAGTTCAAGTGTATATGATAACTTAGTATGGAACTAAGGTTAAGTTATGGGGAGTCTTTAAGGATGACCCATGGTAGTTTAATGATATGTCAATTCTAGGCATAGGGTTGCTTGAGAATTGGACCTTAATGCATGGTGATGTGATAGAGCCGAGCTCTAGAATGCATGTAAGGTGTAGACTTGGAGTCTATGTATTGTATAGCTAGAGCCGAGCTCTAGGACTTGCGTGGTGATGTGATAGAGCCGAGCTCTAGAACGCAAGGTAGGGAGATTGACCCGAGGTATATGAATTGTATGGTGATGTGGTAGAGCCGAGCTCTAGAATACAATGTCATGTACTAGGGTTGGACTCTAGGAGTTGTCGTGGCTTATAGTCACGGGGTTGGGAATGGTGATTTCCAAATAAACATGGGCCCACGGGCCGACTACTTGACTTTTATATTAAGTAAGTATATTTTTAAACGGGGTAACTAGGGTTACAAATCATAATGTACTATCACCCTATTTGAGGGTCTTGTGTTTGAAATACTTGTTGTATATCTATTAGATGCCTGCCACACCAGTACTTTATAGCCGTATAGAGTACTGACCCCTTCGGAGGCGTCCCACCACCATTTTTCAGGTTGAGGCTAGAGCTTGCTTCCTGTGCTCGTTGCTCGAGAGATCATATAGGAGGGAAGACTTGGTTCGTGCTTCCTCCATTCTGTTTTTAAACCTTCCTAAACGTGCTCATGGATATTTTACTATGGAGCCTGCGTGCTCATGAAATGCCTTGTGTGGCCTTTTGTTTTAAACAATGTTTCCGCTGCGTTATGAATTACTTATTATGTTTGTTTATGGATGTATATGTGTGAATGATATTCAAGACGCCTTGTATAATATGAATGTGTTGGACTGCGGTTGACTATTCGTATTGTACGGCGGGTTGTTGACGTGTCCGGATAGGTCCGGGGCGTGACAGAGATAATTGCCCTAGGTATGACTAAAACTCAGTGAGTTTCCCAATCTATGACCTAACCATTTTTTTCCCTAAAATAATACGGAGTATTAAAGTTCAAAATATTTAATTAAAATTAGAAATAATTAAACAATATATAATTTTTATGGACAAATATATCTTTTAGGTTATACCTATAAAACCCTAATTTCCTACTCCGGATCCGATACTTTTCTCCGAACCTAGCTACAACCGCTCATATATAACCTCCACCGCCCACTCACACAGCCGCCTCCGTCGAGTCTCCACCCGCTGTCTAGCCGCCAGCCGCCGTCTAGCCGCCGCCTGCCGTCCAACGCCGCCGCCTTCCACAGATCTCTGGTCTGGGAGTACAACCGCCACCTTTCAAAAATCGATCTCTGGTCTGGGAGCAAAATCTGTAAATTTGGGATTGTGTATGACCCGGGGGCTCCATTCTGGTGGATGAATTTAGCAAGGTGTGACCATACGCAATTCCATGTCGGCGCACAAACTCAGCACATCCCTCATCAAATGAATACATTGAGGAAGTTTGTTGTGCAGTGATTATGACCAGTAGTGCAGTAACATAGAGCAGTAATGCCGCCATGAAGTGCAATATACTCTGTACTTAATTAGACGTAAACGAATAAAATTATTAGATAAATATAAAAAATAAAAACTGTAAATAAATTCCTAAAGTGATTGAGAAGAGAATTAATTTTGGAGAAAGTGCAGTGATTATTTCCGGATGTGCAGTAATGTCATGCAATAACGACGATATAAAATGCGGTAATTTTAATTGAACGAAATTAGTGTTAAATGCACATATTATAAATAAAGGTATTTGGGTCATTAAACATTTTAATATGAATGATTTTTTTTTTTGGAAAAATTGATAGTAATAATCCCAACTATTGGCGGTCCGCTCATAATAATCCCAACTATCGATTATTTCAGAATAATCCCAACTTTAGGGACCTTCCGCCAATAATGGTCCGACGTGATGGACTATAAATAAATTCATATAGTTTCTAAAGTAGATGAGAAGAGATATAGTAAGTAATCCCTATAAATAATCATAACTTTTAATTTTTACGCTTAATTTCTATTTGAAATTCACTTTTTATCTGGTCATGGACCATTATTGGCGGATGGTCCATATAGTTGGGATTATACAAAAATAATCAATAGTTGGGATTATTGTTAGCGGACCGACAATAGTTGAGATTATTATTTTCAATTTTTCCTGTTTTTTTTTTTTTGGATTTTCGGTCATACAAATGTCTAAAAACAAAGTTAGTCATATTTACAAAATTATGTGTTGGTGTGATTTGTATTAGTAAAACTTTTGTAATTAAAAAAGAAACATAGTAGTACTACGTAGGGCTGGGCGCGGGGCGGGTAATGCCAAATAAATGGAACCGCCAGTTCCATTGTACGGGCCGGTCCGGTCCGGGTATTGCAATTTTGAATATAGGAACCGGGCCTTACCCGGCCCGTTTGAAACGAGTCAATCTGGTCCGGGTTTTTCAGTTCCTCTTTGTATGTCTTAAAAATAGTAACAATATACGAAGTTCCAATAATCAATAATATAGGGCTTTGGAAAATCTCAAAAAAAAAAAAACATATACAACAATGTGCACATTTAACACAACTATACAAGTGACATGTCATAGTCGATAGCTTCATATATTTAAGTTCCAAGTTCCAAAATTCAGCAACATAACCATTGTTAAGTTCCCAAATCATAACTTCAAAAGTCCAAAATAACAACATAGTAAACCCTCAAAAAGTCCTAAATGACAACATTAAAATGACAACATAGTTTACCTTGAAGTTTGTTATATTAGTATCATAATTATCACAATTTTACTAGAATAATAATTTTATTAAAGATTATAGTTGTAATTTTACTAGAATATAATTATCAATTTGCAATAGTTGTAGTAGTCTTATTGTTTTCTACTCCCAAGAGGTTTTCTATTCCTAGATTTAGGAAACTAGTTAAACTAGTGAATCTAGCAAAAAATTAACTTCATCGCCACGCATAAAATTGAACTTCACAAATAATTTAACTTCACCACAAGGCATAAATTAGTTGTAAATTACTATACACAATATATAACGGGCCGGGGCGGGTACCCGGCATTTTTCGGTATTGGAACCGGACCGGGTCTTATAAAAAAATTACACGAGTACACGACCCTACCCGGATCGTTTTTAGCAACAAAAATGGGAACCGACCCATTTTAGACCCAAACCTCTATTACCCGGACCAGACCGAGGTTCCAAGACCCGTTTGTGCACCCTTGTACTAGTGTAATTTGTTCAAAAATTCTAGAGGTACCCCAAAATGTATCCCATTTTGTACCCACCCCCTGAATTGCCTGTGTACACAGACAATTCGTTTGAAAGAGGACAGGATTTTCTGTCCAAACGTCTGTGTACACAGACGGTATACAGATTGAGGTACAAATTGGGGTACAAATTGGAGTACCCCAAGTAGGACTCTAATTTGTTTTTGTTACATCAGAAATGAAGTACCGCGTATAAATGATTAAATACGGAGTACGAAATATTCTTTCTTCATCCTTGCGATATACAACTGCATAAAAAATCAGAAGTAAAAACGAACAACACACTAGACAGACCAACTCACCCGAAGGTCGTACACTGTCTCTCTCCAACTTACCGTTAAAAATAATTTATTTATATAATCTCGTCGGCGGGGAAGCATAAATCTCCCGGAGAAAGAGCGACAGGCGCAATAAATCCCCCGGTTAAACCGCATTACATTAAAAGTCTCCACGACCGTTGACGCCTCGCTATCTCTCTTTCGTTTATATTTCATTGTCTTGCCTTAATCTCCAACGCTCCTCCTCCTAATCCTCCTCTTTCTCTCTCAACCGCACTCAAAGTTTAGCAGAAGGTACGCCTGTTTTTTTTTTTCCAAGAGATTCGCAGTACTCTGAAATTTTTGGAGTTTTTAAATTGGGTTTGGTTGCTTTTGATCTGGAAATCATGGGTTTCTTGAATTATCTGAACTAATCTTCAAGTTTCTTCCTTTCAGCAGTTTAAATTTTTGGTTAGTTATACCTTTGCTTGATTATTGGTGGGAATTTACATATCTTTATGCATTTCTATTTTTTCTGGATGCAGTTAGTCCAAGTGGATGTAGTTTTCCTGAATCATGGCTGTTGCCGGCTTACATAACGTGTCTGCATTTGACCATTCTGCCCTTGGTGAATCTCGGGCATCCACTGTTCTGCAAATGTGGAGGGAGATGGAACATATGGGGAGTGATACCCCCACCAGATCTGGAGATAGAAATGGGCTGCTCATGAGTGAATATGAAAATTGCAACAGGAAAGATGAGCCCATTGATCTTGCGGAGATTGAAAGGCAAAGAGTCAGACAAGTGTTTCTGGAGTGGATGAGTAATGGTGCAAAGATCCATACAGCGAAGCCAATCAAGGGACAGTTGAGGGAAGGGTATTCTGAAAATGGAGAGTGCCAGAGAAGCAATGGCTTAAGAAAACTATGTGGCAGACAGGCTCTTGTTGATTTACTGCTGAAGGCTCAGATGCAGCGGAAAAGAGAACTTAAATGTTTGATGGAGGCCCGACTTGTTTCGGAATTTGCTCATCGTAAGCGTATCGAGGTCTGTTCTTGCCACTATAGTCTGCTATCCCTTTTTTCTTTTAAATGATGAAATAATTGCTATGATTCCGAGAGTAGGGGAAAAGGAAGGAATTAAGTTAAAGGGAAAACCAAACTTGATACATGAAAAAACAGGAGGATCCGGGAAAAGAAGAACAAGTAAATGGTGAAAACTGCAAAGCAACAGCAGTGAAGGAACATGATGGTTCAAAGTGCACCTGTGTTTCGTGTTACCTTAGATCCCAAAGTATTTGGACTTTTAGCAAGTATTTTCTGTAGCAAAACAATAATGTCCATTTTAAGAATTCTAAGCATATTTTTATTCATGACAATAACATGGAAGCCTTAGTCCATTTGGGGTCGGCTATCATGAATCGAATCGATACATGATAATGGAGCCAAAAGGCACATTTTTATTCATGAGATTCCAAAATTTCCCATGCTGAATCTCTCTACATTAAATGCTTTTGTACCTTAAAAGGACAAAGTGTCATTTTGTTAAGTTTTTAGTATGCTGTATTTTTCACCAAAACATCAATAATTTTGGGAACACAAGCAGTATAAATATGTGGTTTCTTATGGATGAAGGATTAGGTTAGGCCATAATAGAATTTGTTCCATACTTGCTTGTATTACATAACCTAGGGTGTTCTGTTGTTAGAGGTCAAACCCACAAACAAATGTGCTGTGTGATATTTAATCATTGCTGATTTTACCTTCAAGAAAATATGAGGGTCTTGCTTCTACTAATGCTTAATTTAATTGCAGTCACTGCATAAAGGTAGATTCTTGCATGATGAAAGATTGACATGGGGTGAACGAGCCGCTTCAGTTGCAGCAAGTGAACTAGGCCTTCTGAGACAAAGGCAAACTGTATCCTGTTTGAGGTAAATCAAGGGATCGATGTGCGTATTCATTTAGCATGCTGTATTTTAACTGTCCAAGTAAATACTACCTCTGTCCCAAAAATAGACACATGTTTGACCAATGTACAACTTTTATAAATCAGGAGCTACACTCATAATTTTTTTAAATCTATTAGTTGATCAAGTGATTAGCAATGTTTATAACGTTCGACTTCTTTTAGGTAATGTTTTGAAAAATTGAATGAAAAATAATGTGTTGGACCAATGTACAACCTTTTAATTTTGGCAATGTATATATTTCATCAATCATGAATTACACTCATATTCTTTTTAAATTTAGTAGTTAGATTGACTAAGCTTATCTTATGCGACTTGTCAACTTGTCTATGGTTCTTTTTAGGCATTATTTTTAAAAAATTAGCCTCAATTGATCAAACGGCACTCTATTCTTGCCTGTGATTCTTTTTTTGGGGACTGAAGGAGTAGAACTATTCCTTGTAACTGGAATTCCTTTCAGGTAACCCCCTAAGATATAACAAACTTCTTTTATGAAACAGGGAAGAATTTTCCAGGATGGACCATAATAATCATGGTCACTTGTTCGGTATTCCATCAAAGGATTCTTCTAATGTTGAGCATCATGTTCTTGCAAAGGTTAACTCTCAACGGAACATTGGACTAGAGGTTGCCAATGATTTGCATAGACAATCTGATCTTGCAATCGTTGCATATGATATTTCAGAGGGGACAGTTGGGGAATCAAATCAGCATGAAACTGTACAAACTGCCGAAACAGCAGTGCAACACTTAGAATGTCAAAACAGACAAGAAGAGGCATTATCTATACCTGATTCAGATGCTATTGAAAGTTCACATGATATTGTTGCATCTGATATTCCAGAGGGTACAGTTGGGGAATCAAATCAGCATGAAACTGTACAAACTGCTGAAACAGCTGAGCAACACTTAGAATGTGAAAATAGACAAGAAGATGCATTATCTATACCTGATTCAGGTGCTATTGAAAGTTCACATGATATTGTTGCAATGGAGGATGATGAAGGTCAAATATCAGAAGATCACGATGCTTTTGGTGAGTATCATGACCAAAATGGTGAGTCCAATGATCACAGAACTTATGGTGGGATGGATGATTGGGAAGAAAACTCGATTGACAGTTTAGACTGGCAAGGAAATGTTTATTGCACAGAACTTAGAGAACTACTCAGCAGGTATTCTTTAACGAATTTAACAACTTCTTATTTAATGTTTCATGATAATTGAAACTATAGAATTCATTTGGTATACAGGAGACATGTTTCTAATCTACTACAAAGTGGTTTCCGTGAGAGATTAGACCGGGTGATGCAATCTTATGTGGAGAGGCAAGGGATGGCTTCTTTTGACTCGGCAATGGATGGGTCAACATCCTCCTTTGGTTCTATTGACCATGGTCAACATCAGGAAAATTATGATCAGTATGATGACTACACAAATGATATAGAGAGAAATCACTTTCCCGTGTCTTCTCGAGGTTCTATATCTCTGCCTCTTTGGGGCCAGGAGTTGCAGCACAGCCAGCACTCAAATATGATTTGCCTGAACCTTCATCCATGTCCAGAAATGGTGTGTTCATATTCTTGACTCTTGTGGATGCCTAATGCTTTATCGCAATTAAACTCCATTATCTGGCTTTATTTCTGTGCTCCCATTCATTCTTTTGGGATTTCTGTGGTTGATCAGACTTGATTGAAGTGCTTAATCCACCATTCCTATGTAATGAGGCTTGAATCTTTTTTCATTGGGATTTCATTTCTATATAGATACAAAAATAATTTGCGCTAGAAAACTACCTCCCCAAAATTAGCATTCTTTCATCCAAGTGCATTTTTTTTAGTTAGGTACAAGTATTAAAACTCATTGGTTCTAGCTATATTTTTAGACTTTTTGTGTTGATGTAGCTATATTGAACATAACGAACTGTTTTGAGACACAAAAAATGCATTAAATGTACTCTACTTAAAAAAATGCATCTGTTTGGGACGCATGGGATAATGTACTCCACTGATGGACATCTGTTTCCAAATGAAGGTTAAACTTTATTGCTTATGGAGATTATTTACCACTTGTAGGACTGGGAAATCATAAACGAGTTGAGGATTGACATGAATAGGCTTCAACAGCAGATGAGTAGTATGCAGAGGATGCTAGAATCATGCATGGACATGCAATTTGAATTGCATCACTCAGTACAGCATGAAGTCTTTGCGGCTTTACACAGATATTCTGTTTCAAAAGGTGAATGAGGAAATGATCCTATTTTGTTTGCTTTCCGTTTGCATGAGAGAATTAGCTATTTTCAAATTTTGTTTTAATTGTTAAACTACATTGTATTTTTCTTTTTAGTTGAATTTCTAATATTTTATTTGTACTTTTTTATGGTTTCATTTATTTATAAAAATGAACTATTACTGACCATGATGCCATTTCAACAGATACATGTGAAAGAAAACTAATGAATGAAGATTCCAAGTGGGATTGCGTGAGAAAGGGAATTTGTTGCCTATGTTACACACAGAGAATAGATTCCTTGCTCTACAGGTAAGGAACCAAAGTCCCTGTTATTCTATTACCTCTTACTGCCCTTAGGATTCGATTGATGCCAAACTCCTAGAAACTGTGTAATTGTGATACCATTTTTAAGATTCTAAAATCAGGAATCAGAGGATTCTCAGAGTTCATTAAATCCTATAATTGGGGGCAGTTTCATAGTTTATGACAGCCCATGTTTTGTCGTTCCCGTTTCCAAAATTAATTAGATTTTCAGAAACTTAGAAACTTTGAGGTTTCAATGTTTTTTCCTGTAAACAGGGATTTATTGGTGGAAATTGTGATATTTCATAGCACACTGTGCTGGAAATGTATTACATTTTACATTTAACTATGGTACTAGTATAATAATTTTAATATTTGAACACACATACTATTTTCATCATCCGGTATTAAACAAAGTTGAATCAAAGGAGGGTAAATGATGAAAATAATATGCATACATAAATATATGATTTTCGGTAAATATATCTTTAATATATGATTTTCGGTAATATTTATGCAGTTCCCTGTTTCTTATTGTATATTTTGTAGAAGTTATTTTTTTCATGTTACATTGCTACTTGGATATTAAACCAATGAGAGTTGCTTGGTGTACACTTTTTTTTGTATACGTTTCGTACATTGTCTATGCACACGGACAACTTCTGCACTTTTTAGATTCATTGCTTGTGTACACGGAAAAAACAGGGAGATGCACAAAAAAGTTTAAAAAAAGCATGTTCCCACAAATTTTTCCTAAATCAATTTTGACCACCAAACAAGGCTACTTATTTCCATTGGAGGATTTCAATGTACACTCTATTATTGTTCTCTATAGGTGTGGCCACATGTGCACTTGTATAAAATGCTCAGAGAAACTGGTCCAGTGGAATGGAAAGTGCCCAATGTGTCAGGCGCCAGTATCTGAGATGATCCGGTCTTGCCCTACACAATAATTGAAATATCATTGAAAGGGAAAAAGCTCTGATCTTGCAGCCTTTCTGGTCAATGTCAAAGTAATATGGAGGAAAGCTAAGAAAGGGAAAAAGCTCTGATCTTTGCAGCCCTTTCTGGTCAATCTCGAAGTAATATAGGCTAATGAAAGCAAAAAGGTCTGATGTTGCTTCCTTCCTGGTAAATGTCAAAGTAAATTAAGCCAAGGAATGGGAAAAGCTCTTATTTTTGGTAACTGTTATTTTCTTTTGGAGTGAGAGTAAGGTATGGGCTACAAAGAGCCAACCAAACCTGGCTCTCACTCACTTATTTAAAAAAGTTCTTATATATAGAAAACTTACATTATAGTCATGGAAGAATGGTCAATGTAGTAACAATGAATAATGGAATGGGCTCTCTTTTCAACTCAACCTTGACCTCACTTACACAGAAGTCCAAGGTTTTATGATGGCTTGTAACAGTTTACTGCCTGGGTGTGCATAGTACGCTTGAATAACGTGCATGTATTGAAGACGTTCAAACTCAAAGTAGCCTGAAATGTGTATATGGTCATTTCCTAACATGTTGCCTCTTTTTTCCTTGATCTAATAAATTTATCATCATTAACCATTGAATTGACGCATCCGATGCATTTACGTTTTTCACGGGGGTTAGAAATACTTCAGGTTTTAACCAGCAAAAGGCGCGCCTAGGTTAATGTGTCATTAGCTGTGCGCCTCATTTCTCGTCTAAAAGTTTATGTACATATGAATAGATTGGATGAATGTTTTCTGTACTGTTTAGAGACATGATCTGTTCAATAACTAAACGAAATCTAGCTTTAATTGGATGTTATTACCAAAGCTTTTACTTAGCTAAGAGCCTAAGACAAAGTGGTACATTTTATGAACTGAAATATACTTGGAAGTTTGATCTGTTAAAATCTCCAATGCATATTTTAAGTGTAAATTTCTCTTATTCTCGAAGTATGGGGAACCAACTTTCCTCTTTAAGTTTTGAACAATCTACCATCATGTTATACTGTTTGGAGACTTTACGACGTTTACGTACACCCCCGGTAAAGGAATAAATGGCCTTTTTTGAGGTAAGAAACCCCAAATATAACAATCAAGTCATGATTTAAAAGATATCATAAAAAGAGTCATGATTTCAAAGATAAATGTTGAATTCAGCATTGAAGTTAAGAGTTCATTTGGTAATTTGCATTTTTCAGTTTATCAATTTATCTGTTTTTTATACTGAACAAGTAACTTTTGATTTCATACATTGAATAATAATAATCAAAATAAGTAAGATTGAAGTTACTTTGCTAATTGAATTGTTTGAAGCAACATGACTTGCATAACATTTAATCTAAAAATAAATCCTAATATATAGGGTTTTCTTTCCAAAAATAAAAACAAATGTGGTTTAATGTGTCAAATCTGCTTGTAATTTACACCATCACTTCTTTAAACTTTACCATATTTGATTGACATGAAGAATAATAAAGTAAAAGTATGTAGTTGAAATTTGTGCAGAGAAATATATAAATAATAGTAGTTACAAATTAATTGATTATTAAAAAAGAAAAGTGATAAAGTTTTTAGGATGGAGGAAATATAAAATTTAGCTCATGAGCAGTTGTGGTTTAAAAAGTGGATCACCTCATGTTATAAACTTATAAATTATCATGCATATAATTGTCCAATAAAGACAAAGTGATTAGTATTTTTGTATGGTTTAAATATTGTGACAAATTCACTTTTTCAATCTTAAATACTAGAACAAGTGATTTTTAAATTGCTAAATTTATTAATTCATTTTGTTATTTGCATGATTGATTATAACACGAGGAGTTTGACGCTTTTTTGAATCACAAGTGACTTATGTACGTAACTTGTACATCACAAGGGATTGACGCATTAAACCCATTAGTAAATTAGAAATTGCTCAAAATAGAATTAAAATAGACTTATTTGGTTCGGTTTAAAGAATAAAAAAAAACAAAAACTTCCTTAAATAGAAGTGCTTGAGTCAAGCTGTTTGCCTCTTTTCTTCTTCTAGTCTTCTAGCCTTTGGCTTCTGTGAGCTCCTCCATCCACTGAAATCCCGCTCATTTTTTTAGACTTGAATAGTTAACTGTTTATAAGGCCAAATATAAAAAAACACATTGAGAATTAACTGGATCTAATGTTAGGCTGACTGGAACTTAATTTTCAAACTCAACTGGACATCTATCATCCTCCGCCCACATAGGTCTATAATACCAGTGAATATCATACCAAATCATTCTACGACAAACTTCATGTTGAAACTGAATGCACATAAGCTTACGAAACACAAAGTGAGATCGCGAATCTGGGTCAGCATTATATACCTTGTCCACCGCCGCCTTTAATTCTGTAACATCACCAGCAAACTTAGATTGATAATAAATGTGTTTAACTTTCCTTAAACTTCAGAATTTCTGGAGCATGATATGCAAACAAAATGACCAGGAATCCCCTCAACATAGCAGTAGTTTCCCCCTCTTTTAGAAATCGTGTGCAGAAGGCATCTCTCTTGATCCGATGCATTGCATCCTCAACCGCGTCATTAGAAAAAGTTTGTTTGCACCTCCTCATGTTGTATGCATATTTATATGGTGGAATTTTTTCGCGGAAGTTCCAATCCCGTCTTATTATCTTAAGAAATGCATGCATCTTTAAAATCTGCATCGACCAGAAATTTTCTCACAAATCAGAATGCCTCTGCACTAGGGAGCTACAACTGGCTGCAAGATCAAAAGAATCTAATTTTTCCAAAAAAGTCTTTGCCATAGCAACAAGGGCATGACTGTTTTTATTCTCGGTTTCAACAGCAAGCTCCATGATGGAACATTCACCAAGAAGTTCTGGAACAGGAGAACCTTCCTCATATAGCCAATCTTTCGCTTTCTTCATCGCAGAGAACACGTCGTCGAGGAAAGGATCAGGTTCCGTTGCACAAGAGGATTCCACTTCACTACGCAATGCGTCAATTGTACCATGAGGAGCACCTTTCAGCTTCATCGACTGAAGTAATTGCTGCAAAACATTCACAAATCCGAGTGTATATTCGTCTGCAGGAGCTTTTACTGGAACATTACATTCAATTGTATCCAACTTGAGATACTCATCTTCACAACTCCAGTATACAATTAGAACCAATAGGAGTCGCCTCATCACAGCAGTCCCTTTAGAAGGTTCTCTGACTTTCATGCTAGATTTGAAGTAGCAATCTTTCTTGATACGAGCTATCCGTTCATCAAATCGTTCATGCATAAATTTCCTAGAAATATATGCTATTGTGTCGGGCAGGGAAGAGTCCTGGATATGTAATGCGTTATAGAGAAGGCCGTTGAAGTGTTCATTTTGCCAAACTTTGTTCACTGCTTTGAAATGTTTTGGCGCATCAAGTAATTTTTTTTATTCAAGTAATTTTTGTCCAATCTGAACAAGAGTGTTGCTTTGGGCCATTTTCTGGCACAAGTGATTGATGGATTTATCACTAAGAAAGCGGTCAAGACTGTTTAAATCCAGAAACGTCCCTTGATAGGTACCATGGGTATCCACTATTCTCTTTGGACTTGGCAAATTTGCAGCATCAATGATCGCTCTCTTATTGGAAATTTCAGCGGACACAACTCTTAAGTTACGACATGGTCATCATTACGGTTCGATGGATAATGGTTCCAACGTAGAGTTTCGGATTAGGGTTCTTACGTTTCGTGAAGAACGCCATTTTGCTATTTTATCCTTATTTCGCAGATTTATGCTGGTAATGACTTGAGTTTCATGAAGAACGCAAATTTACGAGCGGAAAATCTTACTCCTCAATGGCTCAACTTGGGCTCATTAGGTCTCCGGTCCTCCTTCGCGCACCTTCACAATTACTGCGCGCACCTCTTTTTTTCCCTTTAGAAGACAGATTTGTCCTCTTCCAAACTTTGAACTAAGGATGTTTTTACTTGGATTGTAATTTGCCCCAGACCATACCAGTCCAGACCAGTCCAGACCAGTCCAGACCAGACCAGACCAGTTCAGACCAGACCAGACCAGACTTGGATAGTTATAAAAATACAAAGAAACCAGACCTTACCAGACCAGACAAGACCAGTTCAGACCAGACCAGACCAGACCAGACCAGACCAGCAAATTACAGTCCAAGTAAAAACATCCTAAGTATTGATTTTGAAATCGTCGAGTAATCACGCGAATCTTACTGGGCGCTAGGGCTGAGCAAAACCCGATCCAAAAAACCCGATATTCTTTTCGGATATTATCAGAACCGAAGTGGATATCCGACCCGAAAAAACCTGAAACCGAAAATCCGATTAATATTGGGCCTAGACCGGGTAGTGGGTAGGGTTTGTAAAATCCCAACCCGACCCGCCCGATATCCGAAATATATGTTATTGTGTACTTTGAATATGTTAAATTAATATCTGTGTTCAACTAATTGTGTAATTATTTGTGCAATTTGTATTAAATTATTTGTGTAAATAGAATGTGTAGTGCACTAGTGTGTACAATTTTTGTCAAAGTGGCATTCCAACACTTTAATTATCCAATTATAATGTGTTTTAATTTAACCGAAATATCCGAAATATATTAAATTATGTACTGTGTACTTTGAATATGTTAAATTAATACTTGTGTTCAATTATTTGTGTAATTTGTGTTAAATTATTTGTATAATTTAAGTGCACTAGTGTGTACAATTTTTGTCAAAGTGGCATTTAAACACTTTAATTATCCAATTATATTTTTTTAATATAACCGAAATATCCGAAACCCGACCCGATATCCGATAATATCCGACTTAAAAATATCCGAAATACCCGATTTGAAATATCAAATGGTCGGACCTAGTATTTAAATTAAAAAACTCGAACGGGTTTAGGGTTTGCAAACCCGACCCGCCCGAACCCGACCCGTGCACAGCCCTACTGGGCGCACCTTCGCAACTACTCCTTCCGTCCCTTAAAACTTTACCAACTATTTTTTAGATGTACCACTAATTTTGCCACTTTCCCTTTTAAGTAAAAAATGATGGTTCCAGTTAATTCTCTACACACAGTTTTTACTTTATTAATCTTCGTGTCAGTCAAACATGGTAAAGTTTTACGGGAGGGAGGTAGTATATTGCTTTTCAAATGCGAATCTTACTGCGCGCAGCTTCATAAAATCAAATCCTAAGATTTTTATTTAAAAAGCAAAGCAGCCGTTAGATTTCCTTAATTTTTACTCCGGATCTAAATTAATTCCTGAAAATTAATTATGTTTAAAATGTAGGGAAAGTTCCCGAAATAGGACTAAAACAGTTTAAAAATTCCAAAATAGGATTGTCATGTTTTTTATTCCCAAAATAGGAGTAATTACTGCCAAGTTTGGAAAATATTGTCATGTTTGAAGTCTGGTACTGCCAAAACATGACAGTAATTAGTCCTATTTTGGGAATAAAAACATGTCAGTCCTATTTTGGAATTTTCAAACCTTTTTAGTCTTATTTTGGATAAATTCTCTAAAATGTACTCAAAAACCGATTACAAATTCCAACTACATTGTTCAGTAAAAAAAAGGATGACACCGCATCCCTGAGGGCCTCCCAA